ATGGAATCCATTACATAAATAATTGAAGAATCAAGACATAATATAACCTTTAAAAATTAAAAAAAAAATTGAGCACGAATTTAACTAAATATTATATTTCTATTAATATTGAAAATTTTAATAATAATATTTATTATTTAATTATTAATGTTGAACAGTAATTTTTTGACTTTCATCAGTAAAAAAATATCAAAAAATAATTAGAAAAATTTAAAGTAATGCCAGGGAACCCCAAGCCCACATGCTAATCATTTGTCATGCCCATCTAATGATAGTATTAATGGTCTTATTAATCGATAATCCCTTTCCGCACCAGTTCATTAATCTGACATATTAGATTCTTAGATGAGCTAAATAACAATTTTATTAAAAAATAATGCTCAGTTCTTCACATAGTACAACCAACAAAATGTTCTTGTGCAAGTTTTATAAATATGTACTACATAAAGTTTAATATTTATTACCTTATAAGTAAGGTGATTATTATAATTAAGTTTGATTAATGTTGCTACACGCGCTACCGCCGACATCAGTCCACCGCTATTTTGCGAGACAACCATCATTGGGTTGCCTCCACTATTGGACCGCTATCATCTAATCGACATGTGGTCATCGCCACTACTGTTATGCTACTGTCTTTGCCATCAAGCTGCCATCGTCGAATCATTGTTGACGTTGCGGACTGTCGATGCAGGTCCGTCACTGTCATCGCCAAGTTGCCATGAACACGAGACCACAATCACGATATTGATGTTGAGCTACTACTAGTACCATCAGACCATCGTAGCCGGGTCATGCGCCACTAATTTTGTCAGATCGCCATCACCTAGCTACCACCACCGTCTCTGGATCATGATTCATCGACTGTCGGTTTGACGGATCAACACCATCAAACCATTGCCGCACTTGTGACACTCCTTCATTGTCATCATATCATTGTCATTTAGTCACCATTGTTATCTTCACGATATTCTGCCATTGTCAAACCCCTTGTCACCCGACCAATGGTGTTGATGTCATCATTGCTTGACCATCATTGCAATATAGCCATTATCTCCCAATCGACATTGTTTGACCCTGTCGTAGTCATTGGACAGTTGTCCCCTTGCAAAAGGCGTAGTCATTGTTGCCGCCCGATCACCATCACCCGACCAAACCAGTTGGGTCACAATCATTGTAGCATGACCAACATTGCCACGAATATACCACAATTGTTAACATTGTCTTCAAACCAGAACCTCCTTTGCCAGTTCATTATCTCTCTTCCCCCGCTATCGTCAGACCAACATCGCATATCAGCCAACAAACCACAATGATGTGGCTGACCTCATTTTTGTTGTCATCACTACACGACTGCCATCGTAGTTGCCATGAGACCAATAGAGCTTGGTTGATGTCATTGCCACGGTTAAACCTTCATTATCGAATCATTATCTTCAAATCACTATCACATGGCTATGGTTACTAGTGTTGTTAGATCACTATTGTCTAGTAGTCATTGCTAGCACTGCAACTTCACTAATATTTTATATTACTCTTTTAATAAAAGTCAAGTTTCTCCCACTCTTGTAATATTATTTTTTTGTTGTCGAGGGGCAAAGAAAGTCTTCTAACAGACATATGAATAGTTTAATAGTGATTTTTTCTCTTTAAAGTTTTCTACATAAAAATTCCTGGTGTCTCATCTATCGACTTTCTTTTTATCTGAGTGTGTGTTAAGTTTTAATACAATGCTAAGATAATAATATAACTCTACTGATGTAAATTCTTAAGCACAGAATAATTAAATATAGCTACTAACTCTTTATGTATAAAAAATAAAGAAAAAACTATTAAATTTGTTTTGAAGCAAAAGAATATGTATTTTTAGATAAATAAAAAGATTTTAAAATATAGGTTTAATTTGTTCCATTGGCTCAGTAATGATTTCGTATTTTGTGCTTAATCGATCATCACATAATATGATTTGACTATAACTATCTCATATGTCATATAGAGACAGATGTTGGACCGAACCGGAGCAGAAAAATCTGTCCAAATCAGAAAGTTAACTTATGTGGGTCGGTGGTGCGGGGGCAAAGTCCTGCGGTACGGTACATGGGTAATATTCTAATTACATATTGTATTTAGGGTTTACTCCTGAGGTTATAAATATGCATGTTAGTAACTCCATGAGGTATCCCAAATTCTGTAATATCTTTTCTGAATATTGAAAGGAACTCGTCACTCTGCTCCCAAGGACGTAGGCATATTTGCCGAGCCTCGTTAAATCTCTGTGTTTTTCTGAATTTGTATCGATTCCTGTTTTTTTTTTTGCCCTAATTTCTCAACAACTATGATACATCTAGTGTTTGAATGTCCAACCTATTCGTTGGAAACATTGAAGAATTTTGTATAGATCGATTTGAGCAGTCATTACGCTAAAATACCAATACTAATAATAAATAAATAGATAAAAATAATGAACTTTTATCCCTTCAAACTCTCCGAACTTTTTACGAGTGTTTGATAGTGCACTTTTAATAGGATTTAACCATGAATTTAAAACTAAATCCAACTCTCTTCTTCCCATTTTGTCTCTTTTGCGATGTAAATCCAGATTGATCAAATCCGGCTGGGAGGGGGATTACACGTATTTACGTCGTAGTTTCTCACCTCCTCCAGCTCTGTCGCGGATTAACTGAATTTCGTGGAGTTGATAAATCCTATTCCAAATCCGACTGGGAGGGGGATTACACGTATTTACGTCATAGTTTCTCACCTCCTCCAGCTCTGTCGCAGATTAACTGAATTTCGTGGAGTTGATAAATCCTATTAACATAAATCTTCTGTTGGAGCCGAACAACGCCTTAAATGTAGGCCTTAATCAACATAAATTTTAAGTAGAATGAGACCAATTTATTTAAAACGCGTCATATATATGTCAACACGCTCTTGATCCAATTTGGCTAGCCCAAGCTGCTACATTCTGAATCCTGATCAGCCCAAGTAGTTGGTGTGGCTGCCACCAATGATGTTTACTATTTGTTATATTTATATTGAATGTTTATAACAATATGAGAACCTCCATGCCAATGCATAAAAATTCTAACTCTTCGTAATTACAAAATTGATTCAAAGATGAATATTTCGATTTAAGTAGAATTTCAAATCGTTGAGAGGAGTATTGCTTGTTCACAAATAATTCATAAACAAGTCACTGGACCGACTGTGTGGAGCTGTCTGAGCCAATGCCAGCAAGATCAAAGCAAACCGAGCCACAAAGCAGACAAAATACTACCATATGATCCAAGTCTGAATCATTCAGTCAGAAACAAGATGAAGAAGCTATCCGAACAAATCACTATGGGAAAGTCGATCTAGTGTGATTGCTTACCCTCTAGCAAAACTAATCCTAGGGAAGATTCGGTTTCTCACTATCTCCAACCATTCCAGGGGCGCACAAAAACTATTTATCAAAGGTCAAGGATCGACTGTTAGGCCATATCAACCGGTCAACCCGCACCGATTAAACTCAATCGACTGAGCCGATCGAGGCCGACTTAGTTGATCTTGCCGAATCGTGGCCAATCGGGGTCCTCCAACCAAGCCGAAAAACAATCAAACAACAAACTCACATTAGTAAAATACCATAGATACACTATACAGTCTTTTTTAATACAATGACAAAATTACATATAACATCATCACATTCTACCCTATCGCAATAAATATGGAGATCATTTTATGAATAAACACAACTAATTTGACCGTTACTTATGTAAATATAAATGCTGAGGCGTTATATATGTAAATATACAAGAATTGTGTCGTAAAAGTCTTTGATTAAATTATCCTTGTAAAGGAAAAAAGAATGAGCCATGGTCCCCCAACACAGGCCCATTTATTTTGCACGGGCTTGCTGACACAAATGTAGAATGGGCATCTCAAAGGCCCAGATGCCGAAGTTTATTTAGGCGACAATTATGAACAGATTAATTAAAAGGGAATTCATTGGATTTAATTTCTCCTAGAAAATAAAAGTAACCAAAGAAAATGTTCAATGAAAGCCCTTATTATAAATAAATTAAACAAACCTTAATGTAACATTAATTGGTGCAATTTTCTTAATTATAAAATAGATTAAAAACATAAAAGCAGTCCTAACTCTAAGAGAATAGTTTTATTAAATTAATAAAATTATTTATATGCATTCACCATACAAACTAATTTTCAAAATTCAAATTCATACAACATTAAAGAATAATAATAATAATAATAAAACTAAACCAATTTTAGTTTTAGCCCAAGCCCAGTAGATTGGCCCAAATGTAATGCAAGCCCAAAAACAGGTTTTTGCTGAGTAACACTGAATAAATTTGAAACTACTGATGTGCATAAAATGTATCATGTTTTTACAATCTATTAAAAAAAGTAACATCCGACAGTACTGCCAAGTTTTATTAAATGGAATAGTGACCTTAAAATTAATTAAATTAATACTTCCCTTAAAATAGAATGCATGAATGCATTTTTAAAATCTCTCTCTCTCTTTTTTTTTTTCTAACGAAGGAATAGGTAGGAGACTATGATACGAGTCTCGATCATCCTTTATGCGCTTATAATTAGAGTATCACACCCTACACATGGGGGAATCGAATCATAGTCCAAAGTAGACTTACAACTGACAAGCAGTGGTCGACCAACTAATCTGAATATGCGGTGCATGTATATATATATATATATATATATCATCTATTGTCTTTCTTCTCATAAATTATGATTTTTCTCTTCATAAATTATCTTCATTTATATTGAGTATTTTTCATGGGAAATTCACAGCAGGATTAGAGTAATGAATTATCTTATTAGCATTGTACGGAAATCCAACACACATTGAGATAGAAGTAGACAACCAGTAGCAAAAATAATTTTTTTTTGTGGAAAATCCGAAAAAGAAAAAAACACAGGACCTTGCCCAGTTGAAGTATTATACTATAATTTGGTGATTGAAAGTACAGTCCCTTGTATCACAGGCTGGAAGGACTTATACAGTTTCTCGGATTACGATGAATGTGCATAGGATTTATTGTCCCGCGGAAGCCTCAACATCCCAAAGCAGCAATGACCGGAGGCGGTGGCAAACCAAAATGGCGTCTGTGGGCAGAAGAAGCGACAACGAATTAGGCTTGAGGCCGGGGGACCAGAATTGGCCTGAGGCAGCCGACGACCGGAAGCGATATCGATCAAAAGCAATGACGGTGACTGGAGGAGGCGGCGGTGGCCCGAGTCAACTGCAACAAGCAGAGTTATCCCCAAAAGACTAATATGTTGAAAATGAATGGAAATAAGCTCATGTGATTATAATATTATAATCCCTAATTTTATTTTTTAATCCCAAAGTGTTGCTATCACCAACTTATTAGATGATCGATTGCACATTTTTAATGAACACCATCAAATATATAAAATAAGAATATCATTTGTTAGTGTGCCATTTGGCTTACTTTTTTCCTACTTGTTAAATATTTTCTTCTAAATTTTCTCTATATATATAATAATATATCTAAACCTTAAGTTTGACATACATAGCAACTTGCCTATGCATGAGAAAGTATATTTCACTTTTAAATCTTAAAATTTTGACATTTTTTTTATGTAATATGAAAGATTTGGGTGATAAAAATGCAAAAAAAATTTAAGTTAGATATCATATATGTAATAACATAGGACTAGGATGATATACTGAAATTTATGTAAATGCCCCTTTATATTTAGGGCTTTAAACGAGCCAAGCTTGAGCAAGCTCAGGCTTGGCTCGTGTTTGGCTCGTTCGAAATAGCTCGTGTTCGAAATCGGCTCGTGAACAGTGTGTTCGTGTTCGGCTCGGAGAAGGATCAACAGGCGAATGGGGATTGGGGAGGGTCGGTTAGGGTCGAGTATTAGATATATTATATTATATAACTTATATTATATTATTATTTAAATATATAATATTTAATAACTAATATTAATATATTCTTATAACTAATTTATTATATATTATACTATAATTTCATTTATAAAATATGCTAATTTTTTTAAAAAATAATTAATTATAATTTATAATATTGAATTTTATAAATTTTTATTTTGTATTCCTTATTTATTTATTTTCGAACCAATTTGAGCCAATCACGAGCGAACAAACAATTATTCGTGTTCGGCTCATTTACATTTCAAGCTTAAAAACTTGTTCGTGTTCGGCTCGTTAGGCTTAACAAAAAAGCCGAACACGAGCTGTTCAAACACGAGCTGCTGAACGAGTTGTTCACGAACAACGAGCCAAATTGACAGTCCTATTTATATTTATATGTTTAAAATACAAATATGAATGTTTACATGTAAGATTTATAAATACATGATATATTTGTGCTATTTATTTAATTTTCAATGAAATAAATAGTCTTTTAATTGCGATTTTATGCCTTCATCTTTTTGGAACAAGCTTTTAGTTTAATCAATAGGAATTTATTACTCAGTTGCATTAGCATTGAAGATGGTTGGCACCAAGGCTTGAGAAGGGGTGCTTTTATTGCAAACGTATTGCAATAGCCAATGCAAACCAAATTGAATGACTTCTTGTATTACCAATTACATAATTTATCATGTTAGAAATATATAATTATGTAATGACAAATGGACTACCTATGCCATCCTTCAATTTTTAGGGAGAGAAGATTATGACAAATAAAGACAAGATGGATCGAGGTTCGTACAATTGAATGCTATAAGTTATATGTCATTTCTTTAATTTAAATATATTTATTATTTTTTCAAAAAAAAAATTGTATAATAGTTAATAGTAAAAAATATGTCAAAATATTGTGATAGAAATGATATTACAATATTGTATAATAGTTAATAGTAAAAAAGATGTCAAAATATTGTGATAGAAATGATATTACAATAAACTTATAAATCAATTTGTTTTTGTTTTTGTTTTTGTTTGAGAAAAAGTTGGAAAAAAAAGCTATCAATGCCGCCACATAGAAATTAGAGAAAAAATTAGAAAAAAAAGCTATCAATGCCGCCACATAGAAATTACTAGAAGAAGAGACAGAAACAGAACCATAGATGAATTGAGGCAGAAACAGAACCATAGATGAATTGAGCATCCATATCAATAATAGTAAAGTTCAAGCAGTTTTTATTCTATTTAATCTAAATCCTCCCACTTTTGGCAAGACGAAAACTTTCCACATATTCTTCATTAGAAAAAAAAAAGAAAATGGGTTAAAAATAGAGGATCATGTAATAACGAAGTATTTAATTTAGTTTCTAAAGGACACAACAAATCAAACATAAAATCCTTAAGAAAGTTTTTGCAATCAACTGAATGGGATTCAAGTTTCACTATTAAACCCTCTCACATTCCAAGTAGTCAACTTTAGATAAAACATCAAATGGTCAAAAAGAAAAATAATAAAGAAACAAATCATTTAGATTCACCCTTCTTACTTCTAATGGAGACATTAGAAGTACAAGTAATGCTAATATGAACATTTCTAATAAAATTTATAGCACTAAATTAGAAAAATTATTCACAACCATACCAATACCTTGAGAAGTAGTATTGGTACCAGCTCTAGAGTAATATTAACAACATATTCCTGAATAGAAATGTTGTTAGAAGGAATAAGAGCATGTAAAACACCATTATTTCCATCGATAACATTTAAAACATTGTGCTGAGAGGTCTCCCAAAAAACAATATTAGGATGATTTAAAACAAGATGCAATAACAAACCTGAATTTGCATCAAACAATATCTCAACATTAACTATATTATTCAAATTAGGATGGTTAATTAAAAGTATTATTCATTACTGACACATTGAATAACCACAAGAAAATTAAGTTTGGGAGGAATAGAAGTAGAGTTTAGAACATGAAATTTATTAGGTCCTTGAGAAGAACTAATAATATTAACAGATTTACTTTTATTCCTAATATTTCCCATAGCATTCATTCTAGAATGATTTCTTTCTCTCAAATTAGGATTAACGATAGCAGATAGAGAAGAAGATTTATGACAGTTGGAGGGCTTGTGAGAAAACATAGAGTACACAACATAAGGAACTGAATTCCCCTCATAAACAACAAGAATATCATATTCTTTATTTTTAAAAACAATAGTAATAGATTTGGGGAGAGATGAATCTATATTAATTTGGACGTTCATTCTAGCAAACATAGCCTCAAACATTTAGCTATCAAAGAATCAAAACTAAGGGATAAAACAATCCTACTAGCGATTTTAAAAAATCTCATTTTCAGTCTAACAAAACAATAGAACTTTTGGGAATTCAACCCAAATAGGAATTTCCTTCAAATCCTCTCGAACTTGTTTAAGATTGATAGATCATACTTTAAAGATAAAAAGTTTTCCACTAATGAACCAAGTTCTAGCAGATAAAACTATATCAAGATCCTCCATAAATGTAAATTTGAGAAGAGAAAAATCCTCATATAGAGAAAGAAGATCAATTGAACCCTTCAGTTTCCATATCTTATCAATCGACTGATGGAGTTTCTCATATAAAAACCTTGTACCTAAAGCATAACCCACCAACACAAGCTCCCAAGATTTAGATCTTCCCTCAACCTCATTATTCGAGAAAGTGATCTTATCATCTGCAAAAGGAACATGAAAAAGATCAAATCAATCGGAGTTAGAGAGAATATAATTAACTTAGCCCTTCCAACTTAAAGGCTACGCAAGAACATGAGCCAAAGTGGGTGGAGATGAGCGGATTTGTGGAAAAGAAGAAGCCATATAACCTAAAAAAGTAGGGGCAGATCCCCCAAAACTGAAA